ACGGCAAGTTTAGTCGGCTGTGTTTCGTATGGGGTATTGAGCTTATGGTTGCTTAAGGAAAGTTAGTCTTGTGTCTGCTGAGAAGGATGCCAGGCGGACTGTTTTCCCTAGGCTTCATTTTCATCGTTTTCTGGCAGATTACATATGTACACACATATATGAAAAATATGGATAAGGATTGATGTTCTCTGACAATAAGGTAAATCACGTACGACTGATAGAACAAGCAAAGGTTTCGTGGACAGATACATATAATATTCTGATATTCATGTTTGTTCATATTTCTTGGTGCCAAAATTTCTTGTCAAAAGTAATAAGTGGAAAAACCTCTTAATATATATCAACCTTACATATAGGAGTACATTTATCTCCAGACTCCAAGTCCGCAGTGCGCCAATAATTTCTCATTATTATTTTAAGAAACGGATTTACAGGCAACGACAGAAGAAGAGCAGAAAAAACGTAAGGATATCTGTCGGATGGAATCAGCCTTTAAGCGAATTTTTTTTCTGCGGCGGTCTCGGCCACGCCATATGCCAGACGCCAGAGAAAAGAACTGGGAAAACCACACAGTGAGCCACCAGAGGTTTGGTTTTTTACGGCATTTTCTTATTTTCTTTACTACCTTTGAGGCTTCATTAAAAAAGTTCTGTAAAATTCTCGGATTATTCCAGTTGGGCAACTTAAGATATGGGAATTGATTCAGGAAAAGTATTTAGCATTATGACTTAAAATTAATTGTCTTGATTTAGTAAGGCGTTCTTTCTATGTAAAAATAAAGCCGAAACTGGTTTCTGATATTTTTCTCTATTCAGAAATTATTTAAGTCAGTTGGGCGGACAACTGGTTCACAGTGGGCTGTAAAATTGTGAATCCTCCTGCTGCCTGGAATACAAATGAAGCGTCAGAAAATATCCTCCAGCAATTGTCTTGTTAGCAGTCAATAAGGTCCTCAAAAAAAGCCATTTGTGATGCCTCAGTTTGCCAAGGATGCCCCCAAACACAGTCTGGTTTGACATTTTACTATGCCCTATGATTGTGGCACATCTGCCACAGAAAAGACCAGAAAATAGATAGATGGATAAATGGAAATAGATGTATAAAAAATGGACTCGAGCTTGCTGGAAAAATGCATAGCCCTTCACTGCAACAACTTTTTATGTGTGTATTTTAAGCATTTGAGCATTCTCATCAAGCCATTTAACCTGGAAATAATCAGTTTAATATTCCACAGGGCTTTAGAAGGAATTTAATTATTCTCCATTCTCTGTCCCCTACATTTACGTCTACAAAAAGATACAATTTAAATTACATAAATGAATTATTCATTAAGTTAACGTACTTTACAGGCAAAAATAACAACTAATTCCCTAACTTCAGGCAAGAGAATATTCAAGAAACAACTTGAAAATAAGCAAAATGAATTGTCACATTGTTAGTATCCTCGTCAGATAAACAAATTTGAGAATTCCGAAAATCACAAAGCAGATTTGGGCCCTTGACCTCAAGGAGCCACGAACGTGCTCCTTAGGAGCCCATTTATGACTAAAGAGAGAGAGACACACAACAACAAGGCGGGGGACATTCCAGTCCTTGCTACACTGTTCCTTCTGCTTGCAAATTTCTTTGAGAGCGAGATTTCATGAAGCAATCCATCCTTATGTCCATTTATTCAAATATAAAGCTGAGCCTTTTAATTATACGTAATCTGACAAGGCAATATTCAGTAGAGTAATCTCCAACCTTCCAGTCTCTGAGCTCATTCAATGTGGGAGGAGCATTATAGGAGCACAATTAATTATGTGGCAGACCAGAAAGGTTTTCATGTTCAATCAGGCACTGATCAATGATGTCGATTTTTCACCTGAGAGGCAACACCCAAGTCCCCAAACGGAAATTAATTGGAAATACGAATTTCCTATTTCTGCCAGTGGGAGCGAAATAACTTGCAGACCTGCTCTTCGGAAATTGGCATCAATCCACAATATTGTAGCTGCTAAAATGATAGATTCAAGCATGTGTGTATACACCCAAAGGCGGTAAAATTGGAACAGGTGCAGCGCTTTTCTGATATTTGGGTGTTCTGTACTTTTAATTAGGAGCTTAATGAAGCCCTCAATTCAGATACACATAGGCCACAGGTGCTCCAATTAGTACCTTATAATTCATTTAATTAATATTACCTATCAAAGATATACGTTAACCATACTGTGCTTATTTAATTTTTAGCTCCTGGCACATTGTGCCACATTAAACGCATTCTCTGCAATGTAAACAGCAAAAGCTAAAAATAGGATACCAAAAAAATAAATAAAAACAACGAAAACAAATGCAAAGCCAAACAAAGAACGAACAGGAACTTAATTAAGTTCGATAATGTAATCAAAAGTAGGTTTTTTTCTGCCAATATTTCTCAGAAAAATTTAAACATATGCATGGCTCACAATTTATACCTTGGCGCATTCCACAGAGATATATATATGTATTTAAATTATTCTATATAAGCGTCTAGTTTTTTGACTGATTAGCCAGATATGAATTGTTCAACTTTTTTAACTTTAAGAACAGGACGCTGAAGCTAGAACATAAATTTCAGGCCTGGATCTTAAAAATGACACTCACAGAAGCCACAGACAGTCCGCCACTTATGGTTGTCTCGACTCGACAAATTTGTTCTACTTTTGGGCTAAGAAACACGGACATAATCATGAGCATCTTCATCATCATGGGAGCAGACATTTTTGATTTGGGCAATGACCGCAGAAAACTGAGGCGAATTCTTAAAGCTGTACCAAATTCCATTTATCTAAGGTAAAGAATATTCTTTGGGCCAAATACAAGCAGTGATATGATGTAAAACCCTGTCGAGATGCTAATGACAGCGACATTTGTTTGTGTTCCTGTCAGCATCCACTTGACGCTTTCAGTGTTCGTTCGGTCTGTGGTCACATCAGCACCTGACACATATCAGTCGCAGTTTGAGGAGCAGCGGAGTTGTGGGCGACATGTGGTGACGGCTATGGAGATGCCGTCAGGGCAGGTGCTTGTCAAGGGAGGGTCGTTTAAATGTGTATCCACAGTGGGGCATATGAATTTGAAGATATTTATCTGAACTACTTATATGAATTTTTATATACTTATCTGTTAGAAAAATCGGGAATATGAAAGCTTCAAAGATAAGAGGACGCTTCAATATGCTTAAATCTAATACGAACTGGAAAATTATTATAAACTCTTAAATGTATTCTTTAATTTATTTTCTTTCCATTCCGGACCTCACTTTGAGAAGCGTTTTCTACCCCAGGCACCATTGGAGTGTTAAATTTGTTTTCCTTTTCATAGTTTTTTCTGCGCCGACTCCGACCGCCTGCGTCACCGTCAGCAGCGCCGCCTCTGCCTCAGTTGCTGCCTCAGCTGACGACCACTGCTCTCTCCGTTTCACGAAACGAAACAGTACGGGGGAGAACGTAATTCCATGTACCTCAGCTACGTAGTGAAATTCGTAACGTGACACGTGTCTGTGGTAGAACAACAAAGAATCTGAAAAACAATTACAAATACAAATAAGCTGCGGCGGGAAATTAACGATTGAAAAGGGCAGGAAGCACACACTATAGTTATTTTGGTTATTTTTAAATTAACCATTCTTACCTAGTCATTGAAAAATATCAAAAAAGAGGGCGCCCTCGTAGAGCGTTTTATTTTTAGGGACATTTTATGTCCAACCTACAATTACTCGCGTGTGTTTTACTTTAACCCCTTTTCACCTGAGCTTGCCCTTGCTGCGAAAATAATTGTAAATTTTGTTTAATGAAAGTCCTCTTATAAAGTTAAATCGTATTGGGTTTTGCCTTCATCATTCTTACTGCTACACACAACTATATGTTTAGCAAAAAAGTTCGAATGCATGTACTTTTATAAATTCATGTAAATCACCAATTATAGTGTAAATTAAATATATCTCAAATAAAGTGTTCCTTATAAATAAAACAAAATTAATAAAATAAAGTTGAAGCAAAATCTCCTGATTATTTATATAACAACATTAATTCTGTAACAGGGGAAAAAAGCGACTTACAGAAGGGAATTCTGGGGAGCGGGATATCTGCGTTCGAACTTTCATTTAAATTATAAACTACTTTTCAGGCTCTGATAACTTTTGACGACGTGCCTGTGGGGGGCAGTAATTAATTTTGCTTAGCTTTCAATTAACAGTCACAATAAGTCACTGTTTTGTCAGTCAGGTCATTCATTGCTTATTCTTCCTTGGTCGCATATTTAATTGTCTAGACATTTAAGTTCCTGTGTAGATTGCTTTGGAGGCAGCTCTGAACTGAATTGAACTGAACGGTAAACCACAACATCCATTCCATTCGCCATTTTTAATTCCATTTCCACAGGAACAATGGGCTACGAAGGTACGAGTATAAAAGACTGACTGCCATCAAGGAGCCGTTTATCATTTTAACAGCTTGCCATCACAGGATTGATAGGAAACGTCTCAAAGTGCGAAACGAAGGTTACAAAGGTTGTACAACCCTTAAACAAGAAAAAAAATCAACTTCGAAATGGAAAAGAAAACTACGAAAAAAATAACCTAAAGGCAATCGGAAGGTAAGCAGCAGAAGCACCTTTCTCTTCTTCTGACATCGAATGAGGTCTTAAAAACGATTTCCATGCTGAATATTTGAGTTTATTTCGTGACAGAAATTGGATTTCCATGCTTCCACCTTGTTCGCGCTTCTCAGGTGGGGAATTGACATCATTGATGGGTGTCAGATTGAATATGAAAAACCGTTCGTTGCTGCCACATAACAAATTGAATTGATTTGATAACTTTGAGATTGTTTGTCTTTATCTCTTGAACATTTTTTATATGTACATCTGTATATATTTATATTGATATAATATTGCACAGATGGAAACTAGGACGGCCCAACAGGTTGTGAAGCTGCTTTATTTCTTATAAGAGTTTTATTTATTTTTTTGTGGCATCAATTTATTGATTATCTTCCACCTGCATTTATTGGCAAACAATGTTAAGGTCAAATTGCATCGATGGCATCTAAGGTTTTAGCTAAGAAGAGTCAGACTCCGACTTGGTTTCAGTCAAATCATCATGCTCTCCCAGTATTTCTGGCTGGCTTTCTGTGTGGCTTGGATCTGTGTCCGTATCTGACTCGGAAGAGCCCGAAAGTTCGTCAGAATGCAAGGTCGAAGAGCTTTGATCTGTGTCCGTATCTGACTCGGAAGAGCCCGAAAGTTCGTCAGAATTCAAGGCCGAAGAGCTTGGATCTGTGTCCGTATCTGATTCGGGAGAGCCCGAAAGTTCGTCAGAATGCAAGGTCGAAGAGCTTTGATCTGTGTCCGTATCTGATTCGGAAGAGCCCGAAAGCTCGTCAGAATTCGAGGCCGAAGAGCTTGCATCTGTGTCCGTATCTGACTCGGAAGAGCCCGAAAGTTCGTCAGAATGCAAGGTCGAAGAGCTTTGATCTGTGTCCGTATCTGACTCGGAAGAGCCCGAAAGTTCGTCAGAATTCAAGGCCGAAGAGCTTGCATCTGTGTCCGTATCTGATTCGGGAGAGCCTGAAAGTTCGTCAGAATTCAAGGTCGAAGAGCTTTGATCTGTGTCCGTATCAGATTTGGGAGAGCTCGAAAGTTCGTCAGAATTCGAGTCCGAAGAGCTTGGACCTGAACTATCCGTGTCCTCGGAGTCAGAATCTGAAGGCGTGCCCAGATCTTCACTCTCATTCAGAACGTTCAAAGGTTGGACAGAAATCAAGGCCGAAGAGCTTAGAAATGAATTATCCATATCCTCGGAGTGAACAGTTGACGACGCGCCAAGCAACTCGATCTCCAGCGGATTTCTGAAATGATCGGCAGGATTAAAGGCTGTATCTTTGAAGTCAGCAGCCAAAGACAAAGGCTCGTCAATATTTCCGACGGCCTCCGCTATATCCTCACGGTGCTTGCGCTTCAACAATTCGTCCTTGATCAAATCTAGAGCAAAATGATTACATTCGTAGTTTCTGTCACTCACACAGCGGCATTTCTTACCGTAACCGGTCATCAGCAGCTTATCCAAAACGTAGGGCTCATAATTCGTGATGCCCCCCGACTTCAGTAGATTTTTAATGACCATGGTGTCATAACGCACATCCAATTTCTCTACGGGCATATGAAGCTTTGGAAACTTTGATAGAGACATTTTCACGGGATTTTCACTTCAGGTCGCAACGAATTAACTTGCAATTATATGTGACCCATGACTTTTGACGTTTAATGCCTAGGTAATTCTATCAGGTATGCTCCGAATGCAGCTATCGATGGAATCCCACGGAATAAAACATTCGTCGCTTTGCTCCTTGTTATTTTTTGCTTAAAACGCATAACAAAAAAACGCATATGTTTTCATAAACACTTTGAACTAATTTGTAAGCAAATCCTGCTGAGTCATGTACTCCTGGTCACACTAATAGATGGACCCCAACACAACAACACAGCAGTGAAAAAAGTAGGCCCGTAGCACATTTTTTAAATTTTATTGGGAATTATTCGGCTCATGGAATGGGTCTCTTTTTTTATTGGTATTTTAATGCTAATAGCTATTAAATCTACATACATACATATATCTCCCTCTATATCTGCGCGAGACTGTGGAGAAACTTATTTTGTAATTTTTATAAACATCGATTGCTTGTGGCATACATCGATATCTAGTTTTTAAATTCTCTTCAAATCATTGTGAAGAAAGGGAGACACAAATGCATATACAGGCAGAGAGGAAAATTATTAATCCATAGAGAAAAACCTTAAGACCAGAAATAATTATATTTTTCTTTGAGGTATTTTTTCTCGAAACATCGATATCTTCAAACATCGACGTTTTTCGTTAGCTAGCAAAAATATTATGAGCCGCGTGCAGTCAACCAACATTTTGATTTTGCTGTCAAAATACAAAGTCTCCGAAAATCGACAAACCGTTTGCTTCTAAGGAAATTGTAAATTATCTCTATCCTCGATTTAATCTACCCACGCCGGTATTTCTGCTTTAAAATGATTCCAAATTTACCAACTGAGATCATTGACAAAGTGTTTGGATACCTGAAAGAAAAAGAAAAACTGATTTTGGCCCAAGTAAACAAAAGGCTTGAATGCACCTATGCTTACCACGTTCAAGAAAAATATAAGTTACTTTTGGTCAGCGATGACATAAACTCTGCTGGGTTCTATACAGACACCGAATTACGTGTTATTCTGTCTTCATGCGGATCAACTGTTAGTTTTTTTTCAATACAATGTACTGAGGTTATGGATCAACTAGGAGAACTAATAGAAAAGTACTGCTTTAACCTCAGATATGCCTATTTGATGATAACAAATGAAAATTTCAATGCGTTCAAACGTGTTTTAAACATGAAATGCATAGAAATGCTTTACTTAGATAGTTCCCATTATCGCGGAACGGATCTCATCCAGTACGTAAATCCATACTGTAAAGAATTGAAGCTAGAGAGCATTTCGATGGCCCAGGGTAAGAATTTGAATCTACTTAGTTCGATGTGAATTTCCTCGACGAGTGCTTTAAATTTATTTCAGAGCATCACATACGGGAACTGATTCATTTGGAAAAATTGTATGTGGAATCGTACTATGTACAAAATATTTTCGAAATATGCTCCCATCTTCCGAAACTTCGCGAATTCACTATTAACTGTTTTGAATATCCACCCGATTTAAAACAGGATTATTTATATCCTGAATTAGAAAAGCTGACACTTCAGTATTTCGAAATTAAATTAGATTTGCCAATATGTCCGAAACTGAAACAATTGATGTTGATTTTTACTGCGAGCTACGTTGAAAACATTGGTGACATTATTTCAAAGTACGGAAACACATTAGAGCGTCTAGATTTATCGCCTGTCGCTGGTCGAGATAAATTCCATGCGGAGCAAACAATAATAGTTCTCAGAAAATGTAAGCGCTTGCAGTTAATTAGCACCACAAATGCAATTATACGATACTTGTTCGTCGAATTTCTGGGATCATTAATTACCGTTTTAAAAGAAAATGGTTTTAACACAGAGAGACGTCTGAAATTGGAAGGGGACTTGTGTGAAGTCGAGCAGCTTAAGCTGGAATTGGTGAGTATTTGATTTGGGTAAAATTTAACCGGATTGAAACAATTTTTGTTTTAGATGGAAAAGTTCCCAAATTCCGAAGTGTGGAACTTGATTACGCTGAGTCAATTCATATATTAACTGCACCATCAAGTCGCCCATGCTAATCGAATACAACACTAATTTATAAATTAATTGTTCGCAAGCCAAAATAAAACAAAAACAGAACAAGAGAATAAAGGAATTGATGAGAGAATATCCACTGGACTGAAACAATTGCGAGAGTGTATTGCGTGTGAGGTGACATCTATGCGATCTGCAGAGAGGGTACCATTTTATATCGAGTTCACCCAATAAATTTGTCTGACCAAGCGAAAGCTGCAAAATTGATAAGGAGGGGGAGATAGGAACTCTATGAGCACGTTGAAAATGAAACAAGGCCAGCTAAAATAGGTGAGGATGTTAGCCACTTATTCAGGACATGGGGCGAGCCGACCAACATAATTTGTAACAGAACAAGAGTGGGTAAAAACCACACATAAACATGGCACGAATAATGGCATCCTGCCCGTCGTTTTAGTCCTTATTCCTTTCCCGAAATATGAGCAAGCAAAGTAGCAGAGCAATTAAAAAAAAAAGTCAAGAAACAAGAGAGAACTTAAGATGTTTCATTTCCCACTATGACTCGACAGAACAAAAGACTTGTTTACTTGGGAATGTTGCTGCTTATTCATCTTACCGTCATGCAGGTGCTCTTGGGTTGGCTTTTATTCAAAAATATAATTTAATATTTACACATCGGCGGAAAAAGCAACCATGACAGGGCTGAAATTACTAACACGCATTTGTTTTTGCAAAAATCCCTCCCACTTGGCTGTCTTCCCCGCCTGATGCTCTGTTTTCCCGCTGTGGTGCCAGCTTTGCTGCACTACGCTCACCAATACCAAATACCCCAAGTTTACCCAGGACCATGAGTAGAAATCGTGCTGTAGCGTGGCCTTTTACTCTTCGCGTTTCACCATCTGATGGCTCGTTGCTTATACACTTTCCATGTAATCAATGACAACAATTCCGTCCCTCGCTGATAATTTTTTACTCTTTGTATAATTTGGTTGATCCGTTCTATGTTTTATCGGATAATCTAGTTTGCACTTCACTCTAACATCGTGTCTACAGACGAGCATACTCAGGCTTTCGTCAGTGCCAAAAATATTATGAAATTTCCCCACTAGCACAGATGGTGTGGAAAGTGCCTGGCAAGCAATTTTACAGGGCACTATACTCTCCCATTTTGGCAGGATTCGCTTGCTTGTGTTAACAAGGTTTGTTGCTGCTTGCTTTGTCCTCTTATAGTGTTTCTTCTTTTCTTTTTAATCCCAGAACTCAGTGGGCAGGACTTATGTATTTCCCTTTTGCGTTTGAACTACTCTCGTAAACTTTCTGCAACCATTCCTCTTTTAAAAGCTTTGAATTTCGTTGTTCCTCTTTTGTTTTTTGTTTATGCTATTTTGGTGTTTTTTTATGTTCTGGAAAAATATTGTTCTACTTATCTTTTTAGATTCATCATTTTTTTCAGACCATTTCAAAGTTTTTACAGCTCAGTAGAGATGGTCCGTTTCATTCGCTCGATCTCACTTAATTCTTATCAAATTTCTTTTGAAAATTAGCCTTACACCTAAATATTCTGGTGCTAATTGGCTTCCATGCTCAAAATCCTATGCCACTTCCATTTTATGACAGTTACTAAGCCAATTCCTGAATGTTTGTAATAGAATCTTGCCCAGGGCAATGGCATTGTCTATGACAGAGAGGTAGAACGGAAATAAAGAAAAACTAAGAAAACTGACTTCTACTATACGGGGCTTCCAGTGAAAACAATGTTGGGTTCCTGCTAAGTGGATGTAAAACGATTTGACTTGGTGACAACTTTATTTCCGCCTCTACCTTTTGCTCCAAAGAAGTGCAGAGAAAAAGAGTACAGAGAAATAAAAAGTCGTGTACATTCAGACCTCTAACGATTGAATTTCCTGGTAGATAGGAGAACGCGTCGTCAGAAATGAAAAATTCTTGACAAATGAAGATTTTTAAGGGAAAACCAAGCACGGTCGTCGGAAAATTCTGCAAATAAGTGGCCATACCTGACCAGAGCATTATGCAAATGAGCGGGCAAGTGGGCAGGCACGCTTGTGGCTCCTGTGATTTACGAAATTTTGTGGCTCTGGGCGTTGGCCTATTTGGGTAATGTTTTGCCTTTAATTTAGGAAAAACTTCACATCCTAAAAGAACGAAAGACAAGCCTTGAAATAGGTTTTATGAAGTGTTCTCCCATAATTCCCACCTTGCGGAAGGAAATGGCTTCGGAAATAGGAAGTCGGCGAATTTGCTTACAAAAACTTCGTATAGATTGCCTGCATAGCGGGTGGTTTGCGTATATTACACCCTACGGAGATGAGAAACAGACTCTGCCTTAATTTTTCATGTCGCCTCCTAGAGATCCTCAAGATTTGTCGTGATTTACGTGGAACAAAAAAGGATTTAAAATGTTTCGGAGATGAAAACGAGCAAATGGCCGCCATTAAAATGTAAGTTTCTCTCGGTCTTTCCATTCCCCGGCTAAGGGACAACCCTGCAATGCCATTTCCACCTAATTCCAACAAAATGTCGCGCAGTTATTAAAATCCTCAGTACCGCCCACAGAACCCACCTTCCTCTTAAACCTGTGCCCGTCGAGTGTTAATGAATTTTGGCATGAATAATTATGTAAATTTATTCGGTTTTTATTAGCCGGGGCCTGGGCCTGGGCCTGTGCCGAGAGCTTCATTCAATTGTTCTTGTTTATTTTTGGGTTCTTTTGATTATTCTTTGACTTTAAAAAACGTGTTTTTATTTTGCTTGCATATTAAAGTTTATCCATTAAATTCTGTATAGAATAATGCTGACTTTAAGTAAAGCAAGGAATGGTTTTGCCAGTAAAAATTCTTAATGAATTAAATGAGTTGACGTTGGGGAAATAAACAAAAGTTGGGAGACACTTTTCATCTCTCATGGGGCAAAGTCCGACATTAGATGCCCCAAAAATTCAACGGAACCGTAACGACGCTGATATTGAAAAAGGTTTCGTGAACCCCGCTTTGAGGCCTCGTAAATTCAATAAAGGTTTAGTGATTGTTTTTCTAAAGCAATAAAAAGCGAAAAGCAAACAAGGAAACAACGTCGGAAAGGGTAATAAGTGACCTTAAGCGTGGTGGGATAAGTGGGTTTGTTATAAAATATCAATCATTGTTATGAAGAGTACGTCACGTAAATATTGGCAAGTAGTACTATTCCCCTAATATATGAATAAAGCAATAAAATCATCACTCTGTTATATTATTTTGTAAGCCAGTATTTCTGGACCAGGTGAGACCTTCCATTATACCGAAAGCTTTCATTCCTTTTTCAACTTTTCATTCCATTCAACCATCAAGACAGGCGATGCGGTATCAAAAGCTGAGACTTTAAATTCTCTCAGCCAGCTACGTGACCTAAATAAACCCAATTTGCCGTCTACCACCAGTTGTGGCCATCTGTTTCATTGCGTTTTCAGACTAGATTTTTTTCTGCTGACGGCATTTTAAGCAAACTTTTTTGGTGCGCCAGGAACGAAAGAAGGAGGTGTAGGAGGTAGAGTTCACTCTTCCTGTGGTCGCAGACATTTTTGCACAATTTTCCAAGTCTACCCTTGGCCGAGGATACCACACTCAATGTGCACCTTTTTGAGACAGGTAGCAGTCACTGAAATATGAGTAGATTGGGGTTGAAGTGAGGAGAAGGACGGATTTTAGCAATGGCTTTTTAGTTTGCTTTTATGACAGTGCGCCGTTTACAAAAATGTCAATCACCTTTTGATCCACCATCTCCATTGCTGTCCATTGTTTTAAAAAGTAATAAAGAAATATTTTGGTTCCCTGTAGCGGATTTTATTACTAAAATGTAACTAACGATGGGGTTAAAAATGTAAAAAAATTTATGAAGTATCTAAAATTCTTTGCGGTCTGTTTCAAAATGGTTGCCAAGCTGTTGATTGGAGTGAAAATAATTAATTACGAAATAATTAAAGCGATTTTAAGCATAATCGGAACATAATTTAGATGTGGTTTCTTTATACAACCAAATCTCATCCAAAAAAAAAAAAAAAAAAACACCAAACAAACATTAACCTAGAAAATAGGTATCAACTGCGGTTGAAAACCAAATTGAGGTATTTTTTACTTAAAAAATGTTGTTGGCAAACAGCATTTTATTGTCGCTCTGTGTATTTTTTGTGTACTCCCTTTAATAAGAACAATAAATTAGTGAACAATAAATAAAGTGAATAAATTAACTAAAAATATATGGAAACATTGATGATTGATGATTGATGAACATCAAGGTTTTAACTTTGTAACTAAGCCACTACGGCTTCGATAGTAGTTCGATTTTACTCACTTCATATGATAGAGGTCTTGGCTGCCACCCAGAGAAGGGGGAGTACTATTAATATGATATCGACAATATTCAATCCCAAATAGACTGAAGTTTATTATGGCTTATTCAATTCTGTACTTGTATTGGTTGATCATAAATTATACGGTTTTTTGTCCCTAGAAGACGGTCATCTCGGACTTTCATGTATTTTTCCACAACTTAAAACTCTTTACTACTTCTTCTGCTTCATCACATTATCCCCTTGACTGGACTCGCTTTGGCTGGTTTTGGCTTGATTTTGGTAGGGCCGCTTATTGAAAAACTTTCCCCTTGTCATCTTCTGTGGATCGTCTTACTGCAAAAGTTTCACTTAAATGGCAACAACTTTCTGCATTTTCAATGGTATTTTAGAATTCGCTGGAAGTTTCGCCTGCTTTTTCATTCCAGCTGTGGAAAAACAAAAGTAAAAAACTTGTACAAGTTCATTATTTGTTCGGAGCACGCCTTAATTAGTTTTGCATTTCAGATCTAAAACAAACTAACTTGTAGTGGGCTCTTATTGCTTTCAAAATGAATATTTTAAGCGGGGAGTTTTTCTGCTGCTGGAAGGAAGGTCTTGTCGTGCCTTAACTTCTTTGTAAATTAATAGTATTGAAGAGATTGTATTTTTAAGCAATTTTTTAAAGTAACACAAGGTAGAGTTCATGGTTTTTGTATAATTCGGGTGCCTTCTTTGTTTTCATGTTAAATATTGGAATCAATTGTTTATTAAAATCCATTTTTCATATTTTCAATGGAGAAACGGCGCTCCTTGTGCCCTTTACTGCAGGAGGTGGTTCTTACCATTCCCATTCGCAATTTATTGGACAGCACTATTTGTTGTTATTTAAAAACTTTTATGAGCAATTACATTAATCCGTTTCCC